ATATAGGCTAGTGAGCACATCAACATTTAAAAAAGTGTTTTTACTGTGTTTAAATACGACGGTGTTTTAGGGCCACTGTTCATAAAAATAAAAATAGTAGACTTCAAGAATAAAGTCGTAATATTAAAAAAAAAGTGATACTATTTTGAGAAAAAAGTTGCAATATTACCAGAAAAAAAATCATAATATTTCGAGAAAAAAAGTCGTAATATTTTGAGAATAAAGTTGTAATACTATGAGAAAAAAGTCGACTTTTTTCTCTAAATATTACAACTTTATTCTCGAAGTCTACTATTTTTATTTTTATTAACAGTGACCCTAAAATGCCATCGTAGTTTCAATGTGATTTTTATTGTGGCAGTATATAAAGAAATATAAAGAAACCTGCAGTGTCTGTTTTATTGCGGAGAGGTGTGAATAGTTTTCACAGCAGTTGGGGTCTCACCCCTCCCCTTTCTCCCCCATTGCTCGCTAGCAGCTCAACATAGAGTCACAACCAACAGTGTCCCAGTTCACCTGATCTCAATGTAGTTAATAAAGCTACAGGCAAAATATTCTATTTGGACGATTTCCATTCTGGTGGTAGACTGGCAGTTGGGTTCTCTCAGGTTACGACGAATATTTCAAGCTCTACGAGTGTGTCGGATAGAGATAAGATTGAAAAACGCTGGACTGTTCTTTCAAGGAACAGATCAATCTGCTTTAATTGAAGTGGCATTTTTATCTGCTGGCTCTGCTGAACACAGGTTCCTAAACATGCCACCACTTGCCACAACATACAGCTTTACGACTTCCATTAAATACTGTCTAAATCAAAGGCCCAAGTGATGTAAATCCTGAAAAGCACACACGCCTCGAGGCTCTGGGTGTTGAACAGGACTGGTGATACCTCTCACCTCGACCAAACCAGAAAGCCATACGTTAGATTAGATGCTCTCATTATGAATGAACGTCATAGTGCTTTTGCAAAGAGCTCAACTGATACTGTCTAACATTAATATTCATCATTATATTAAGAAAACAACACACAAGATACGTTTGAAACTATTTTTTTTCATCAAATGGGTCGTAATGCATACATAGATAAATATATATTTTTGTACATTCAAAAACAGAATAGCATTTTAAATAGTTATACATTAACATTAAGATTTTAAAAATGTTAAAAAAAAAAAGGTAGGAAGGCCTTGTCACTGACCGTTGCTCAACATTTCAGTAATGCATATGAAACACACACATACGCACACATCAAAAGAAGAAAATAAAAACAGGCATAATCTAAGCTTGTGGCAGGAACCGTTTATAACTAGCTGGGATGTAGAAGCTGTCGAGCCTTTGATTATTGTGGCTGGCGGACTCCGCACTGCACTGTGCTTCTCCGTGTATCGGCTGCTGCGATATCAAAGGCAGGACGTAGATGCTGGTCTAATCTGCTGTTGTCAAGATAAAGGCATATTCAAGCAGGCCTCACCGACGAACGAGGACACTCGGCGTACAGCACCGTGCAAAGGTCAGAGATCACTGTTGATTTCATTTCCAGTCAAAACAGCCAACAAGTTATTCTGGCTTTAAGTTTTGCCAGGAAATCTGCAGGGATATTTTTCAACACCTCCAAAGTTCCGTTTTTGGCCCAATCCCATTTCTTATTTTTTACCACTACCCCTTGTTTTTAAGTGTCATCTTGGCCCTTGGAACTGAGTTACAAGGGTCAGTGATTGAAATCTTCCCTCTGAAATGGGACCCTCAAATAAAAAGAGCATCACCTCACTAACAGCTACTAGCGCTGCTCTGTTGGCGACCCTGCCAGTCTGCAGTGACAGCAGAGGATGGTAAAGTTCAGCTCCTCACTGCTGGGCTTTAGTTACATTTAGGGCATCATATGACTTCAAAGAGGGGGGCAATTATTTATTATCGCCCACCCCTAATTCTTCAGTGATATGAAGTTTCATTCGAATTTTCCCGTTCCACCTTAAATGGAGCAGCAGTTACATTCTGGTGCTTCAGGTGTCAGAATTGCTGGACTATGTAAGGTGGAACGGGAAATATAGTTAGCTAGCTACCGAGACATTAGCATACAACTAGTGATTTTTTATGCTTGTTATGAAGAAAAGAAGCGTAATACATTAAAATGACCTTAAACTAAGATAAAACAATGGTTATCATAATTTTTTAACAGAGAAAGTTTTCACATTTCTGGGTTTCTTTGGTCTCTTGTTCAGCCATCTCGCTGTTTTTTTTTTTCTCATTACACTCTGTTTGGAGTGAACCTCTGAAAAACCTCAGTTTGGAGGGTCATGTAGCTCTAACACTTCACCCTACCCCTCCATCTCAACATGAATCAGGACACCCTACCCCCAGGCCTGAACGTGCAAAACAGAGGCCTAAGGGCTAAGTGGTAGGGGCGAGGGGTGAAATGGGATTGAGCCTTAGAATTTGGTTTAGCACTTTCTGCTTTCAATCTCTACGAGTGTGTCAGATGGAGATTAGATTGAAAAAGGCTGGACTATTCTTTCAAGAAAGAGATCAATCTGCTTTAATTGAAGTGGCATTTCTTATCTGCTGGCTCTGCTGAACACAGGTTCCTAAACATGCCACCACTTGCCACAACATACAGCTTTACGACTTCCATATCCAATCTCCTCAGAAATATCTCTCAAAATAAGTTTAACTTGTACTCACTGGCTGTTTTGGCTGTAAATGACTGGCTTTTGCACAGTACTGTACACGTCTTGCAAAAATGCAACATTAATAAATACGTCCACCTGTATTCATCCATCTATTCTCATCCACAGACAGACCTCGAAACACAGTAGGCCTTTTTCGCACAGACCCATACATCTGGTTACTGTTGGTTGGGTATGGTCATTTCTAGGGTGAGGCTAGCTGGCTACAGCTGCTAAACTGTTTAACATCTCAGCAATGTCAGATTAGTATGAATAGCTAACGCTAGCAGACTTTTGGTTCAAGCCTCCCTGGCTGCAGCTCATAAAACTTTAGCTATTTTCATTTCTCTGCAATTTCTGATTAGTATGAATAGCTAAGGAACCTGTGTGTCCATCTGGTGAAGTGTTAGTACTTTAATTCTTAGCAATATCAGGCTAGTATCATAGCTATTGCTAGCAGGCTTCTGATTCAAGGCTGATTCTACGTCAGCTGGTTACAGGTGCTAAACCACTGGCAGTTTAATTCTCAGCAATGTTAGGTTAGTATGAACAGCTAATGTTATCAGACCCGTGCACACATCTGGCTCAGTGTTAGCAGTTGACTTTCTCAGCAATGTCAGCTCGTATGAATAAATAACGTCAGCAGACTTGACTTTTGGCTAACTGTCCTGCTGAAAAAGGACCATTAGATACCATTAGGATTAAAGCTAAATGTTTTATAACGGGAATTTGCTCAATGGTTTCCAAAAGAGACCACAAGTTTCCTGTAGAACAGTAGAACACCTTCACATGCACTTAGAATCAGCCACTGGTCACCCGTTAAACCATTAGGATCCTTTACATTGTGATATCAACCCATTAAAAAAGCCAAAACACATTACAAAATCATCACAAACCAACAAAAACACTTAATGGTTTCTATGTTATTTTAGCAGGGTGATTACAGGCGCTAAACCATTAGCGGTTTAGCAGTTACATTAGCAGTAGCAGCAGACCTATGATTCCAGACTAGCTGGCTAAAGATGCTAATCCATTAGCTATTTTAATTTCTCAGCTAACATTAGCAGACTCATGTTTGCAGGTTAGCTGGCTTCACATGCTAAACTGTTAGCAGTTAAATGCTCAGTAGTTAGGATGAACAGTTAACGTTAGCAGGACTATGTGTACATCTAGTTGTGTTAGCAGTTCAGTTTCCCAGGTTAGTATGAATAGCTAACATTAGCAGACCTGTGCTGGTTGAGTGTTAGGTATTACTTTTTGGGTGATTCTAGACAAGCTGGCTGTGGCTGATGAACAGTTAGCAGTTTGATTTCTCAGTCATGTGAGCTTAGTATGAATAACGTAAGTGCATGGAATCACAGTATTCCATGCACTTCAGTATTCCGTACACTTCAGTATTCCGTACACTTCAGTGTTCCGTACACTTCCTTGTCATTTATTAATGACACATATGAGACATTGTCATCAAAATGGCTGGCAGGACCATCTAAGCTGAGTTTGGACATCAAATCTGTGTAAATAGTGACCGCCGCCCCTCCAGTGCGACATGAAAATGGTGGGCGAGGAAAACATTCACGGCCAGTTATAATATATTTTAGCATGTTTTAACATCATACATAACACAATATTAATATTAGCACCATGAAACACAGTATGTTTAATATAATATCTTTATATCTTTAATCTAAGTTTACACCATCAGCTAAGTTACATTAGCAGACTCTTTGCAGCTGCCTCACTCAACTGACTCACGTTTACTAGGCTTTTCCGTGGTAGCCTCATTCACGTATATTGTTTATATTAATTCATTTTTTTAACAATGTATGAAAATGTTAATGGCCATTTTTATGCAATTAGATTTAATAAAACTTCATCATTAAAAATTTAATGCAGGAAAATACTGTATGGAAAACTCAAATAGCATGAATGTACTATTGTTTTGTACACTATATGTAAAAATGTGTAGCCTATTATTGGAGCACTGTAGCACATCATGAATTTGCTTCTGCCATCACTTCAGTGGAAATGATCATACCCAACTAATGACTGACCAGCTGTTTGTGGGGGTCTGGGAGAAAAAGGCCTATTGAACTGTCATTTTGTGTGGCAGTGTTATTGCACCTCTCTTCAAACCCAGCCTACCTCACAGCTACACTGGGAAAACCCCCTGACCACAAGTCTACATTCACAATTAACAATCTCTCCACAGCTTGCATATCACAGTTTCAGTATAATTGTCATTACACAGTTTTCAGTAGAATTCTCATTTCATCTTACATCCATTCCTTTTCACATATGTGGAAAATATTTAACCTTTCATATAACCTTGTGTCCGTTCCCTTTATATATATATATATTTACTTTTCACTTTCTATTCAAATATACACACTTTTCCCCCTTTGCTGTCATGTTGTGGTAGAATTCTCATCGTTCCATCTTGTGTCCATTCATTGTCGCATATGCGGAAAATATTTCACCTTTTATTTTATATTCATATATAAACTCAGTTTTTAAACTCCCTCTGCTGACATATTACTGTTTCTCATTCTCGTTCCTTTTCATACTTTCAACTATAAACTCGTGCTTTATCCTCTCTTCCAGAAGAACTCTTCCTATACCGCCCCATGTCCATACCTTTTCGCATACAAGGAAAATATCTGACCTTTGACGATATATTTCAAATATAAACTCACTTATTTTAGCCCCTCCCTAGATTTTCAGTCCATTGTGGTTCTGCACCACTTTTCTTGCAGGATTCCAGGTCCATAGCAAAGGCCTGTGCTGTGAAAACCCTTTAGCACTGCTCCTCCCCCAGAGACTCCGTGTTGTCCCCCAGGTCCACAGAGGCTGAGGGGGCCCTCATTTTTCCATGGCTGCTACCATACACGCTTCCATGTGCGCTCCCATGGCCTGGGTACACGTCCACTGCACTGGAGATGGACTGCACTGACCGGTCACGGAAGTAGTGGAAGGCCTCCTGGTCCAGAAAGGTTTGCTCCTCGCGGAGGCCCTGCTCGAAGAGCTTCCGCTTGTGCCGGAACTCAATCACCATCTTGGTGTAAGAGTTGAGGGTGGTGACGGAGGCCGCCATGCAGCAGGTGAAGGAGCCCCAAGCCATGCTGAGAGAAGAAAAACAACACAAAGAACTGTGATGTCCTGTTAGCATGCAGTTAATGTACATCGATCAGGCATAACATTATGACCACCTCCTTGTTTCTACACTCATTGTCCATTTTATCAGCTCCACTTACTGTATAGGTGCACTTTGTAGTTCTACAGTTACAGACTGTAGTCCATCTGTTTCTCTGATACTTTGTTAGCCCCCTTTTACCCTGTTCTTCAGTGGTCAGGACCCCCATGGACCCTCACAGAGCAGGTACTGGGTTTGGGTGGTGGATGCACTGCAGTAACAATGATGTGGTATGCTAACATGTCTTACAAGCTTGTGTTGTGTTTTTATAAGCGTCACATGTCTGTGTTTAATCTAGAATGCCAAATGTTCTTGCACACTGTTGTTAGCATAGCGCTTACACAATACTAGAAACCCATCATAATGCTAGTACAAGTTAGCATTATCATAGAGGTGGGTTTTTTCATCAAATTTAGACATTTATGGCCCGAATTGAAAGCCTATCTCTAATATTCAGGGTTCTTCACTGCAAGAAACGCAAATTTAACTTTAAAAGCCCACTGCTTGCCACCATGCTTTTAGCCTGCCACATACATAGTGCTTTTATAGTACAAAACATAAGAACAGGACCAGTACAGTTGTTAAACTTATGTAATTCACACCCACAGCTTTTTGCAAACCTCACATATGAATCCTCTCTTTATTTGCTCTGAGTCACTGGGCAGAAATGGCTTATTTCTGAAATTGACTTGAGTTTATGGATGACAAATTAACCCTATATTCCAGCCCAGAAGCCCTGAAAGTGCTGGAATGGAGTGTTTGAGCTGAGGAAATTAACCCGGCCGGTGGATGGATTTGAACAAGACTGAGCTTCAATTACCCTCTGATTTACAGGTTTCTAGCCGTTCCAAAGTGGAAGAAAATGTTTGGAAAAAAGTGCAGAAAAAAATCAGAAAGAAATTGGCCAGATGGCAAAGAACAAATGAAGCAATTTTATCCTGGACTAATGGATGCCAGTAGAGCATCTGTGGTAATTCAGCCAATGTAAATACCACTTTCATGCCTGTCAGAACCCAGCACATGTTTCAAGAACTCTTGTCCGAGCTCCAAAACAACACAGGTTATTTGGTGGGAGCTGTACAGTACAAATACTCCATCAGCTACAGGCTACATAGACTAATATAAGACTAATATATATTCATATTTTCCTCATTGCTAACCTTAACAGTGAGGTACACTGGATCCATCCATCACTGCCATCCATCAGTAATCGACATGGTGGACGTGGAATAAAGTAAGAACAAGTTACAAAATACAGGGCTCGCTAATTAACCCTCTGGACCGCATGAAAGCCTCAAAATCAAAAGTTTGGAGGTAAACTTTGCAGTGTTATGGTGCCCACTAGGCCTACAAATTCTGAAAAATGGTTCTGCTCCTAGATAATGGCAAATTTGGGGGTTTCTAGCTGAAAAGAGAAAACAAAGTTGTATAATATTCTGGAGTTCCATCAAAAAAAGTCAAACAAAATCAAAACTTCAATTGTAAGTTGCTGCCAGCCAACAGTGGAGCGCTAATGGGACCCCTGATTACCATAGATTACACACTTAAAAAAGATGTTTCGTCAAGGGTTCTTCAGTAAATTGGTTATGCACGCACCTGCCATTGGGGTTGCCAGGTTCACGGTTTTCCCTCCTACTTGGGCTAGTTTCGAAAATGCAGTCACACTAGAAAATTGTAAAGTTTCAGGTTTTGGTGGACAAATTTTAAGCGAGGGGGTTTTGGCTGAACCGGGCAACTCTGCCTCCCATACACTGTCAGAAAACTATGAGTTCTATATAGAACCACTTCATGTTTAAATGGTTCGTCGCATGGTGAAACAGTTCTTCAGATTGGTGGAGAGTCTGTTGTATGAGTTTCTACATAGAACATTTTTGTAAATGGTTCTATATAGCACCAAAAGTGTTTTTCTGTTGTTATGATGACTTTTTTAAGTGTGTATTTTGCACACTGAGCAAGGCAGGGCCCAATTTGAGGGGGATGTGAGAGGACGCCACCCCTACCTGGTCAAAAAAATTGCCCAAAACTGTTTCCCTTGTAAAACAACTATCCCCCCTTTTCAGTCTCCTTTGAATAAACATTATATCACTTATTATAAACATTTCAACTCCATCCATATGTGAGATTTATACACTATGAAAGTTCTTAATGTAAAAAACGAATGAGTTCAGATCAGAGCAGAGCGTGCGCAACTACAGAAGAGGTGGTCATACAGAACTGTGCACTGCTGGGGTTGCCAGGTTTGCAGTTTTCCTCCTATTTGGGCTAGTTTGAAAATGCAGGAGAAAACTGTACAGTTTCAGGTTTGGGTGGACGGCTTTTAAGCGGCCCTTCGGGCTGGGGATTTTTGCTGGACCTGGCAACTCTGCCTGCTATACACTGTCAGAAAAAAAGGTACTCTACAGGACAAAGGTACAAACAATGTAAATGTACCACCATATACACAACAACAACCTTAAGGCCTAAGTTTTCATCAGGAGAAAGTTGCATATTTGTACCTTTTCATAACCTAATGATATAAAACAGAACAATAAATCAAAAACGTGGAGACATGGAATCAACTTAAAAATATAATTGCAATGAAATGTGGTCCAATTATGTTCCCTGACTGAATGTACTGAAGACGTACCCTCAAGGCTATCAGCCCAGAAAAATACAGCAGGATCTGTGGACTATCTTTAAAAAGAAACAGCTGAGATAACTGTTAACCACCGAAAGGTGTTAGAAGTTAATAAAGCTGAAAATTGGATCTTATAATCTTCTGAGACTGTCTTAATATTTAGTTAAATAAACAGTAAAGATAATATAAAATGGTGGCTCTGCCAGCTGCATCTCCGGAATGAGAACTGCTAAGTAGCTCATCTGCTGCTGCACAGTTTGTGTTGGTCATCCTCTAGTCCTTCATCAGTGGTCACAGGACGCTGTTGGCTGGATATTTTTGGTTGGTGGACTATTTTTTTCAGTCCAGCAGCGACACTGAGGTGTTTAAAAACTCCAGCAGCACTGCTGTGTCTGATCCACTCGTAGATAGTCTTTGAAATTCTAAACAGAGTTAGAATTTCAAAGATTCTACCTTTCTTTGAAATTGTTATGATGATAATAGATTTTATAGCGAAAATATTTGTATTAAGTTAGAAAAGAGTGCAAAATAGAAGCAATTTGACTTTTGGACCCCACTGTATCTTCAGTTATATAGCAGCCTTCATGCTTAATTCAAGATTGAAGTTAGAATGGACTGGACAGGCATTTCGCCATAATACATTATGCAACATTTTGTCATCAAAATACTATTCTAATAGGACGCATTGCATAACTTCTGCAATAATACCAAGGCTTTTGTTTCTACACTGAAAAAATGGTGCTTTAAATTGCATTCAGATGTGCCAATCGGTTGCACATGACAATCCTTGCCAAAAACAGTAAACCAAAAGACAGCAGTTCCCAGATAGCGAGCATATATCAGTCCGCTGGCTTGATAAGGTCAGCCCCCCGCTGACTGTTTGCTGGACTGCTCACTGCTGATCCACCCTCGGACCACCCAGATGACTGTACAGCATACAAGCTCTAACTAGTTTTTAATCTCCTCAAACAGATTTTAAATGCATAGAAACTTTTATTTTGGAAAATAAACTAAGAAAAATATTACAAACAATTGAGAGGAAACAAATAATGACTAGGCCTGATATAAAATGATAGAAAATGTTATGCTGGATTAAAATGATTTACTAAACTAATTTACAAAGTATAAATAAAGAAAGAAAAGAAGGAAAAATCAGTAAATTGAACTGTGAGTGGAAAATGAGTGATGATAAGGGGAATTTTGTCTAACACTCTGCTTAACCGCTGGTCGGCCGCCCGGAAAACACTGAGCAAAATGCCAGTGGACCACCAGCTTTGCCATCAGTGGCCCACGGTCCTCTAGCTATCAGGGTTGTTTATTCGTGTGCAACATCTGAATGCTGTAAATTCAAAGCACAGTGTTTTCCAGTGTGGGATTTGAACCAATAAACCTCCACAAACCTCAAAGCTTTAAAGAACATAGTCCCAGTTGGATCCAGTATGAACTATGGAGCGTAGTTTTTCCTCAGTGTGCTCCGAGTCAATGTATCTTCATTTTCTTCCCTTCTGTGCAGCACTGACTGCAAAATGAACTGTTATATCTGCTTGTTATTTTGGCTTCCTGTGCTGAGCAACTGCTACGTTAGCCTCACTAGCTGTCCGCTCTACGCTTAGCATGAGCTAATTCAAGTGCAAATGGGGTGGCAGTTTTCTCAAAAGAGGACCTATTTACCCGACTCGGTCGCATTCATGTGATTCATGTGGGAAGGAAACAACAAACAAAACAATATGCAGTCTGTAGTTTATTAGCAATCAGCTGCATATATCATTTCTGGGCCTGTTCTAAAGGTGATCTGAACACAAATGTAGCAGAAATAAAATGTGAATTAATTGCACTTCAAAAAATTACTTTTTCATTACCATTAAATACCATTTGATTTGATGTTCATGTAGTGCATCCTGAGTAAAACTGAGTAACTCATGGAGTAACTCCAGCTAAGCTAGTAAGCTTTGCACTATCGTTAGAATAGTAAGTCAAGCTAAGCTAGTAAACTAAGCACTACATACAGAAACACAAGCTAAGCTGGTATACTTAGCACAATTGTTAGCATGTAGTAACTCAAGCACAGCTAGTAAGCTAAACACTATCATTGGAATGCAGTAACTCAAGCTAAGCTAGTAAACTAAGCACTATCATAAGCATACAGTAACAAGCTGAGCTAAGCTAAGCGCTACATACAGAAGCTAAGCTGGTAAGCACACATCATAAGCACACAGTAACAAGCTAAGCTAGTAATCTTAGCGCTACATACAGAAACACAAGCCAAGCTGATAAGCTTAGCACTATTGTTAGCATATAGTAACTTAAGCTAG